CTGCAACCTCCACCTGCCAGGTTCAAGCACTTCTCCTGCCTCAGCCTTCTCAGTAGCTAGGACTACAGGTGCGTGCCACCACACCCAGCTAATTTTTGTATTTTTAGTAGAGACGGGGTTTCACCATGCTGGCCAGGATGATGGCGATCTCTTGACCTCGTGATCCGCCCGCGTTGGCCTCCCAAAGTGCTGGGATTACAGACGTGAGCCACCGCACCCAACAAAGATTTTGTTTTTTTGACATCACACAATTTTGATGAGTGATAAGCAGAGATTTTTGCCCCCAATACATATTAATGGCAATTTATGTTTTTTAAAATAAAAGACATCTCAGCAATCACCATTGTGCTTGGACAGAATTAAACAAAAGTGAAAAGCATTAGCAGAGACAATGTCAGTAGAATGGAAGTCTACCAACTTGCATCCCTACATATGTAAAATACAGTTGCTGCTTACATCACAATGCCATGGAGATTAACTAATGATAATGCATGGGAAGCACCTAGAACAGTGAAGGGTGCATAAATAAACAAATGTTACTTTACTTCCTAATCCCTTGCATGTGAACTTGAAGTGGGGAAATAAAAGGAAAAATAGAAGTTTCGAACAAACTTACTACCTCCTTTCCAGTTCTGTGCTCACTGTTACCATCCCCAACCAGCTCTCCAAGTCTTCATCTGGAAACGTGGACTGAACTGAGGCACTATGGCAGCCACTCAGCTGGGCCATGTAGCTATGACAGAGGACACTACATCATCCAACGTGGAAATGCCCCATAGTTTATCTCTTGTCTGAGTTTACTTAATTCAGATTATATTCTGAGTTTAAAATCTTTTCTTCCGATTAAAAATACCCCTACAAGTGTCTTTACAAGGGAACTTTGTTTGTTGGTGGCTGAAATAAAAGACTCTCCAGTAAATGTTATATCTGTTGTGAATATTTTTCCTACTTTGTACTTTTGCTTCAGTTTTTATGGTTTGGGACAAATAATCTACATTTTTAAGTCAAAGCTATGAATTTTTCCCTATAGTTATTTCTATTATTTTGTTTAAAAGTTCTTTCCCATCTACAGATGAGTTAGTCATTTTTTGATCTTTTATGGTCTCATTATTTACACTTAATTCTTGGGTGTGCTTATAAATTTTTGGGTATGATAAAAGGTAAGGCTGTAAATTGGCCTTTTATTTTAAATAGGCACAGCACTATTATTTATTAATCCATCCCTTCCTTCCTGATGCTTTTTGTGATGTTTCCTTTATTTGCAGTGATTTTCTCTGAGGGAGGAGAATGTATGGGGGTCACCTGAGCTTTGCATAAATACACTTAACCCCACCTTTTTTTTTTTTGAGACAGAGTCTCACTCTGTCACCCAGGCTGGAGTGCAGTGGTGCGATCTCAGTGTGGCACGTTGGCTCACGCCTGTAATCCCAGCACTTTGGAAGGCAAAGGCGGGCGGATTACCTGAGGTCAGGAGTTCCAGACCAGCCTGGCCAACATGGCAAAACCCTGTCTCTACTAAAAATACAAAAATTAGCCAGGCTTGGTGGCACGCACCTGTAATCCCAGCTACTCCAAAGACTGAGGCAGGAGAATTGCTTGAACCCAGGAGGCAGAGATTGCAGTGAGCTGAGATTGCACCACTACACTCCAACCTGAGTGACAGAGTGAGACCCTGTCTCAAAAAAAAAAAAAAAAGTCATATACCCATTTTGTACTTTTCTCATATATCATCATATCATCTAGGATCTGCTTAGACATGTGTATTCGGTTCCACAGATTTATCCTTGTGTCTGCTCCCCACTGTTATCCTTACTGAGGGATAAGAATATATTTTAATATCTGATAAAGTATTATATTTTGAAAACATAAAAAATAATTAGCCCATTAACACGTTGCTGCAGCATCCAGGCTGCTTGTTGAGAGAACTCTTCTCATATTGCTTTTCTCTTGTGGGATAACTTTCAGTAAGGCTTTTGTTCAAATAGTTATATTACCTATGCTTTTATGTCAGCAGGAATAAATAATCCATTTTTTAAAGTTGAAAATAAAACTGTACTGGAAGAGAATTGTCTTTTTCTACTGACCTAATCTTAGAAATTCAACCACCATCAAACCTGGCTCTAAAACTAACAGCAATATTAATATTAACTAATAACAACACTGAGATCTCACTCTGACAGCCAGACAATTCATTTTACCGGTGTTTGGTTTTGCATATATGAGATGTTATTTAGAAACCTGTTCTGAAGGTCTTTGCAAGGTAAAGATATGTATATACTTCTGAATTTCATTTTTCTGTATGCTTCTAAAACTAAACCTTGGGTTAGGAGAGGTAGGAACTGTTTCCTGCTTGCAAATACTAATGGCTCAGTAAGAAATAAAAGATTGTATGTCATAAGTAGCCTTAACTTTGGTAAGTCAGTAGCATATTTTTTCTAAAAATTTAGAAACCTTCTCAGGATTCAAGTTACTCTAAGGCATGTTATCAGATTTTTCTCAGTAAGCAATCTGTTATAAATAGATTGATTTATATCAAAATGTATTTTATTGCAAATAATATAGCAAGAATTAATTGAGTATACTTTAAAACTTTCTTAAGAATGCCATTGTGCAGAGCTTTATAGTAATCATCTTATCTAGTATAATGAGACAGCTTCTAGAAGTATGAGTATATTTATATTCATTTTAATGTTCCTTAAAAGTGATAATAATTGATAATATAATTTCACCAAACTGTATACAATGAGATATGTAAGATGTTTACCAGTAATGTAAAATAAAATTTTAAATTTGAGGACATGAAGGAAAGTAGAAGTTTTCATAACTTAAAACCATACAAACAGAAATGCTAAATTTCATTTAGATGGTATGTGTTAACATTGTCAGGGCAAAGTAATTAATTTTGTCACCTTTTTCTGACCCTCTAATTTTTCTGCAAATTTCAGTATTTATCCTCAAATATTACTTATTTTTAAAATATACTTTTGCTTTGACTTATTCTTTATTCAATTAATTATGGGCACTTATTGAAATTAGTTAACTGGCCTGGCGCAGTGGCTCATGCCTGTAATCCCAGCACTTTGGGAGGCCGAGGTGGGTGGATCACCTGAGGTCAGGAGTTCGAGACCAGCCTGGCCAACATGATGAAACCCCATCCCTACTAAAAATACAAAACAGCCAGGCATGGTGGTGGGTGCCTGTAATCCTAGCTACCCAGAAGGCTGAAGCAGGAGAATCACTTGAACCTGGGAGGCATAGGTTGCAGTGAGCTAAGATCATGCCACTGTACTCCAACCTAGGCAACAGAGCGAGACTCCATCTCAAAAAATATATCTACATATAGTTAACTGAGCACTGTATACAAGACAAATCTCATTAAAATAAACTCAGTTCTGATCAAAATCTTCATGCTCATTCAGATTGATTTCTCAGCCAATGGCCTACCTTCAGTTTTAAGAAGTATTCTGACTATAAAAAATTTTTATACACCATGATAGAAACTTTCAGATGAGTCCTTGGAGTTTGTTCTAAGAGGCTTTTACATATTCAGTCAATAACATTCAGGTTCTGTGTATGACCAAAGAACTGGACAAATGTTGGCCAAACTTTCAAGAATGTTTGCCTAATGACACCCCCTAGATTGCAACTGTATGGTGTTCTATACAGCTATATTCAAATGGACCAGGATAAAAGCTAATTACACCCAACTTTTTTTCTTGTAAGCACTCCTTCCTTCCCTTTCTCCCTATCTTATTCATCTGTTCATTCTTGTTAATTATTCAACAAATGTATATTGATCTCCTATAGCCAAGAAATGTACTAAGCTCCAGGGAGGCAATGACAAACAAGACTAAGACCCCTTTCTTTTAGAGCTTACTGTCCTGTTATTTTTTAATGTGCATGAAAATTGCAGAGTTTGCTCTTTTTAATTCTAATTTACAGATTTTATTGTTGTAAAGTATTTCAAATACCCAGGAATTTACCAAAAATAATATAATCACATACCTGCTACCTAGATTTCAGACATTAACATTTTGCCATATTTGCTTCAAATTTCCCCAGATATAACCATTAACTTTAAGTTGGTATATATCTTGTATATATTACCATACATATTTTGTATCTTTATTGTATATGTATTGATCCATAAGAATGTGGTATTGTTTTCTACCAGGCGTGGTGGCTTACGCTGGTAGTCCCAGCACTTTGGGAGGCTGAGGCCAGTGGATCACCCTGAGGTCAGGAGTTCGATACCAGCCTGGCCAACATGATGAAACCCCGTCTCTACTAAAAATACAAAAAATTAGCCGGGCGTGGTGGCGGGCACCTGTAGTCCCAGCTACTCAGGGGGCTGAGACAGGAGAATTGCTTGAACCTGGGAGGTGGAGGTTGTAGTGAGCCAAGATCGCGCCACTGCACGCCAGCCTGGGCAGTAAGAGCAAAACTCTGTCTCAAAAAAAAAAAAAAAAAGAATGTGGTATTGTTTTATGTTTTTATATTTTACGTAAATGATTTCATGCAGTACATACCCTTTTGCAATTTTGCGGGGTTTTTTTACTCAACATTATATATGAGATATACTCGTGTTGATGCATGTGAATGTAGTTCATTTCATTGCAGTGCTATATCGTATTCCATTTTGTAAGTAAACCAGTTCACTTCTCCATGCCTTTGCTGATATATACTTATTTCCAATTGTTTCATATTATGAATGGTAGTTCACTGAGCATCATTACATGTTTCTTGTGTACATATCTGAGTGATTCTGTAAGATGTATACCTTGTAGATGACTTGCTGGATCACAGAATAGGCATGTTCAATGTTACTGTATCAAAGTGTGTCTGAAATGACCCTATTGTTTATAAACCTGTTTTAAGTAAGGTGTGGTTTTAAGACCTATTGCTAGGCTTTTGAATCGTTAGCTTATCTGTTAATTTTTACTGTACAGTATTTAAATTCTTTCCCTTTTTATCTAAGCAGTGATAGATAGTGGGTGATCTCATTTTTTAATTAGGATTTTATTATCTTCTCATCTATTATAGAGATTTAGGCATAAATGAACACAGTGGCAAATTATACAAGATTTTAAAATGATAAGTGAACATATATTTTCTGACACATTGTCAGTTCCCAAATCATTTACTTTTAAACACACTTTAAATTAGTATCAAGTGCTTGATTTTAATAACTACTTTAGTGACATGAGAAACGATGGCACTTTAATTATTTTGCTGTTAAAGTCATAAATTTCACTAACTTCATAATCTATGTTAAGAGTATTAGCTTAAAAATGTATTTTGAAAAGATTTTACATAGAGATTTAAAAGATAGTACCTTGAAATGGTTTACAGTTAAGCAAATGAAATATCACAGTTACAAGCACAGCTTTGAGATCTGACTTTTGTAAATGCTAGAACTTTGTTTCCTAATTTTTTTAGTTCTTCAAAGAATTAAGAGGCTGTATTATATAATTCATTTTAGTATGTTTACCTCAGGTACTTTTAGAACTAGAGTGTATTTTTGCTGCCACAGATGTATCATGCAGGGAGTATCCTGGTTTAAATTCTGAAGTGCTTTCACTCCTACTTGGTTCACCTTGAAATCGTCTAAAAAGAAGTTGGCACATTATTTTGCGAATGTTACTGGACATCAGGAAATACATGACTGGATCTAAGCAACTATTGAAAGATGAGAGAACCAGCATGATCTCATTGGTTTTGTGAACAATTTCTTTCCAGTAGCAAGACGATACATTTAGCTGTGAAGAAATGTAGATGAATCGAAAGGCATGATAGGGAACAAAACATATAGTAAAAATGATAAGTACAATAAAGGAGTTCCGGGCTGTAGTGGCATATTTACCAGAATTAGGAAATTTTGACCTCCTTTTAGAAATCCTCAATAGATTCTTCCCAATCTTAATATATGAAAGGATTATTAGTAAGAAAATTAGCCAGAACATTACCACAAGAATGAAGTTAAAAATGGCTTCTCCTTTTGCATTATGCTTATCTCTATAATGGAAACACATTGTGGAATTATGCCCCCCTTTCTTAAGTGTTAAAATAATCATAGTTAGGAATCCACCAAGAGCAAGCATCCATACTATACAACAGACATAAATACTTTGTTTGGTTGTTATTGCCTTCCGTTGCTGTATAGACCGATTAATTTTTATATAGCGATCCAAACTGATGAATCCAAGCAAAATAATGCTAATGTACATGTTCATATAAAATAGTGTTCCCACAACCTTGCACAGAATCACACCTAGTGTCCACTTGTTTTGGTTAATGTGATACATTATTCGGAAAGGGAGGCAGAAGATGAGTAGGAGGTCTGCAATGACTACATTAAGTAGATAAATTTGAATGGAATTTCTTTTGCGGTGAATACCCAGAAATACATAGAGGGCGATTATGTTCCCAACCAGTCCCACAATGAAAATAACAGAGTAAGATGTTGTTAACACAGTAGATAGTAATTTTTCATCCATGGGACAGGTAGTAACATTTGGTGTTCCTGAGAAGTTTTGTGGCGGTTGGTCGCTATGACTGGTTATAAAGCGCATTCTGTGGGAGGAGTAAGGCCAGCTGCTGACTGAAGTTGTCGTCATTGTTATGGTGTGACTTCTCATTGTCTTCTGTGGAGATCAAAAAGTGAAAGTGCTAAATGACATATTCCTCATGTGTAGTTCTCATGTCTTCAGATTTTTCCTACAACAGAATGCCAAACATTGAGTCATTTGCTATTTTAATAATAGTTACTTTAACTAAAAGTATAAATAATAGGCTGGGCCTCCCAGCACACGCCTATGGTCCTAGCTACTCGGGAGGCTACAGCAGGAGGATTGCTTGAATCCAGTAGTTCAAGGCTGTAGTGAGCTATAATTGTGCCACTGTACTCCAGCCTGGCAACAGAACAAGACCCCATCTCTTTAAAAAAAAAAAAAAAAAAAGACAGAGTAAGTAATAAATGATTTATTTTCAGACATTGTGAGAAACTTTACTTTTATCCTACTTCATCTAGTAACATTATTGTATCATTAAACAAGCAGCACATAGTGTGGTATCTCATAGAGTTTCATGCTCTAACCTTTCCTGTGGCTATGGCCTACATTCAAGGTCTGTTTCATGTATTATATTAAAACAACTCAATTTATGAAATCATCTTCTCTTAGGGAAGTTCTTATGGGAATAGAGATGCTAGTGAAGAGAAATGACAGCTCATATTTCTCTTTTTTCTTTTTTTTTGAGACGGAGTCTCGCTCTGTCACCCAGGCTGGAGTGCAGTGGCCAGATCTCAGCTTACTGCAAGCTCCGCCTCCCGGGTTTACGCCATTCTCCTGCCTCAGCCTCCCGAGTAGCCGGGACTACAGGCGCCCGCCACCGCGCCCGGCTAGTTTTTTGTATTTTTTAGTAGAGACGGGGTTTCACCGTGTTAGCCAGGCTGGTCTCGATCTCCTGACCTCGTGATCCGCCCGTCTCGGCCTCCCAAGGTGCTGGGATTACAGGCTTGAGCCACCGTGCCCGGCCGACAGCTCATATTTCTCAAGATGAGCATCCGTTTCTCTAAAGGTATGTACAACCATAAGAGAGCTGGGCCCACTGCTGGCCCTGCCCAGCTTCAGAACCACTTCCTGCCTTGACTTTTTCCCTCGTATGTGGCATTCATTCATTTTGACATGTATTGCTACATGGCGTGTGACTTACTGTGGCGGTCTCATTCTATAAGTGGGAATAAAGAAGAGGATCCTAAATTTCTTTTCAGCCTGAGACCAAGGTAGGGATCTTAGGGCATGCAATTAACATAATAGACTAAGAGAACACAGCACCTGCAAGGTTACACAGACTCTTGTATCAGTGGACAGGAGAAAAAAGTAACCAAACAAAACCAAGTCAGCTGGCAGCTGCTGGTTAGCCACTCCTAACCTAGAAGCATAGAGTGATAACGTAGACGGGAAACAGCATGTGCAATCTAAGATTTTGAAAGTAACCTGACCAGCCGGGGGCGGTGGCTCAAGCCTGTAATCCCAGCACTTTGGGAGGCCGAGACGGGCGGATCACGAGGTCAGGAGATCGAGACCATCCTGACTAACACAGTGAAACCCCGTCTCTACTAAAAAATACAAAAAACTAGCCAGGCGAGGTGGCGGGCGCCTGTAGTCCCAGCCACTCGGGAGGCTGAGGCAGGAGAATGGCGTAAACCCGGGAGGCGGAGCTTGCAGTGAGCTGAGATCCGGCCACTGCACTCCAGCCTGGGCGACAGAGTAAGACTCCGTCTCAAAAAAAAAAAAAAAAGAAAGTAACCTGACCAAAGCTTAAATGTGCCCTGGGTTCAATAATTTGAGACTTGCTAGAACCTTCGAAGAGATGGTGTTTGAATTCTACTTGTTTGTGGCAGCAGAGAATATTTGCAAAGCTACTTATTATTGGCCCAATGACTGCTGTGAAGAGCTTAGTCTGAGAGCTGGTCACAACAAGTAAAGAAAGCGTTTCTGGAGGTCTCATCACATTTCTCTCTTAGAGTGACTGCCCTATTTCTCTACAGCAGCCACTTAGCAGGGTTAACATAAAGATGCCCAGAGCAAGGTTTTCAAAATCAGACCCAACTAACTTGTGACCAAGGGCAAATAACTTAATCTTTTCTATGCCTTAGTTTTCTCATTTGTGAAAATGAAAAATGCATAAGAAGAACTTAATCCTGGCACATAGTGATTGCTTAATAAAAGTTAGCTTTAATAAACACCTCGATTAATCTCATTTTAGTAAATATCTCACACTTGGCTAAGTACTGTGTGGGAAAGGAAGGTGAATAAGACAGAGACCCTATTAGTAAACATTTTGGAGAGGTGGACATTCAAACCCTGACTGCTACCATGTAAAGTGGATTTGAATTACATAAATTAAGTCCCTGATTTGATCTTATACACAGAGAAAAATAGCCTTTCTTAAAGCTCTACCCATAATTTGATTAAAAACAAAGCATTTTTGTAGAGGGTAACATTAAGGTTTAAAATGTTGTCAAGTTGGGGAGCATTGATTCCACAGAAGAGGAACTGGCTGGTGAAGAGGAAGTTATGTAATCCCTGGTAAGAGCCTGTTTCCAGAATTCAGGAAGGTGGAGGGAGAAAGGAAGGGAGCGGGGAAGGACTGGGTCTAGTCTGTCATGTCTCAACTTCAGGAAGACAAATTTCAGAAAGTTTATAGAAAGATATAGGCGTGTTTCTTGTGATCTTAGATTCTGGTTTTTTTGTTTGTTTGATTTGATTTGTTTTGTTTTGTTTTGTTTTTGAGACAGAGTTTTGCTCTTGTCACCCAGGCTAGAGTGCAATGGCGCGATCTCAGCTCACTGCAACCTCTGCCTCCTGGGTTCAAGCGATTCTCCTGCCTCAGCCTCCCTAGTAGCTGGGATTACAGGCGCCCACCACCATGCCCGGCTAATTTTCGTATTTTTAGTAGAGATGGGGTTTCACCATGTTGGCCAGGCTGGTCTTGAACTCCTGACCTCAGGTGATCCTCCCGCTTTGGCCTCCCAAAGTGCTGGGATTACAGGTGTAAGCCACCATGCCCAGCCTGTGATCTAAGATTCTAAAAGGAAAGGGCAATCTAGAAAGAATGTCAGGCTGCCAAAAATGAAACTAATAATGCAACCTGCATTACCAGGAAATGGGTGTCTGTAGAGGGACCACCTATATTGTGTGGTTATCTAGGGAGCTCTCATAGGTTCAGGGAATTGAAGCACAGGAAGTGATGTGATTTTGAGAGCTCAAGTAGCTGAAATGACATGAAAACTCACCTGTAAGTAGTTATTTTGGATTTTTTTCTTCTCTCATGCTAGATTTTAAGTTCCATTAGGATTAAGAACCAAATCAATTTTGTTTGGCTCTCTGTACCTAATGCTTAGCACAATAAATAATACTAAATCAAAGAGGGAATTTATTAGAAATACATATGAAGCTCTACATGTGGATATTAAAAGCAGCTTTACAAGTACAGGAAGAGCTTTAGCTGCATTAACAAACACAATTGCAATTGCTCTATCAGTAGCGTAGTGTGGTGGCAACGAAAAACCCATCTTTTATTGAATTCCTAGATATGTGGTGTCTGAAATGAAAATTGTTACTACTAAACTGCTTCCATCCCAAGCTGGTAGGATCTCCCCTTTAATGTAGTGTTTGATCCACAGCAGTACACTTAGAAAAGGCCATGGACAAAATGGAGAGAAGAACTCAAATCATGTCATAGAAGCAAATTGAAGGAAATAGGCACCTTACCTTGAAGATGAGAATGCTTTACAAAGCCATAGAGAAAAGGGTTTCACTTTGTTATATGTGTCTTCGCAAAGCAAAACAAGAACCAATGATAGAAATTGCAGAGACAGATGTTGCCTCCTTTTAAGGAAATCATTTTTTTCTAATGAAATGATCTCTCTTGGGCGGCAATATAAGGATCTTACCACTGGAGATTTTTGAGACTACCACTAATTGGAGTCTTTGTAGAAGGGATTATCAGTGGTTCTCAATCCTGGCTACATATTAGAATCCTCTTGAGGGCTTTTTAAAGATACCAGTGCTTGGCTCCTTCCGCAGATACTCTGATTTAATTGGTCTGGAATGGGTTTCAGGCACTGGTTTCCTTTAAAAGCTCCTCAGGGGATTTTAATGTGCAGTCAGAATTGAACCCTTAAGCTAGATGGCCAAACCATTAACTAATATTTATTTAGTACTTTCTGTGTACCAGACATTGTGTTAAACCCATTTATGTTACTTCCTTTGCATAATCCTTGCAATACTCTGTGAGGTAGGTATCACAAAAGAGGTAACGAAAGATCAAGAGGTTGACCAGGTACAGTGGCTCACGCCTGTAATCCCAACACTTTGGGAGGCTGAGGCTGGAGGATCACTTAAGACCAGGAGTTCAAGACCAGCCTGCCAGCCAAGGCAACATAGCAAGAACCTGTCTCTAAAATAAAAAAAAAAAGGAAGAAAGAAAGTTCAAGAGGTTATGATCTTTACTCTTGGCCACACAACTCTTTTTTTTTTTTTTTAGATGGAGTCTCACTCTGTCACCCAGGCTGGAGTTCAAATGGCATGGTCTCAGCTCACTGCAACCTCCGCCTCCTGGGTTCAAGCAATTCTCCTGCCTCAGCCTCCCAAGTAGCTGGGACTACAGGCATGTGCCACCACACCCAGCTAATTTTTGTATTTTTAGTAGAGATGGAGTTTCACTGTGTTGGCCAGGCTGGTCTTGAACTCCTGACCTCATGATCCACCCGCCTCTGCCTCCTAAAGTGCTAGGATTACAGGCATGAGCCACCGCACCTGGCAAGCCACACAATTCTTAAATGACAGTGCCCAAGGTGGGACTCAGATCTGACTTTTAGAGCCCATGATGCTTTTCACCAAACCTCACTCCTTTTCACATAAGATCAGCATTTTCTTGATTAATATTGAGTTCTATCAGCAGTATTTTGGCATGATTCCTTTAACATACACTTTAACAATTTTAAGAACAGATTATGCCATCTGGCTTTACTTCTTTACAAAGGGTGTTAATCTTCTTATTTGCTATGTCCATTATTATAAGGAAGTAAATCTAGAGTTTACAGAATCACAAATCATTCATCAGAATGATTGCCACTACCCGCAGAGCATATCTTTTTAAACTTACTTCTAGACCCGATAGCCATAATCAGGATGTCTCCAGAAAGCTGTTAGCACAAAGCACATATCCTGAAACCATTTGCCTCAGCTCTAATCTGCAAGTAAAATAAGTAATAGTTGGATGGTCTGTCAGTAAGCGTTTCTGGTTTTGCTTTAGTCTTCAGTTTAAAGAGAATGAAGCAAAGCCAATGCATTTGTTTACATTATAATAGTGGCCATCATTTACAACCATGTTTTAGACAGCTTGCATACAATTATTGATTCACAAATTGACAGCTGGGCACCATGGTTCATGCCTGTGATCCCAGCACTTTGGGAGGCTGAAGCAGGAGGATCACTTGAGTTCAAGAGTTCTAGACCAGCCTGGGCAAGATAGTGAAACCCTGTCTCTACAAAAAATATAAAAATTAGCTGGGTATGGTGACGTGTGCCTGTAGTCCCAGCTACTCCCAGCTACTCAAGAGCCTGAGGTGGGAGGATCGCTTGAGCCTGGGAAGCAGAGGTTGCAGTGATCCAAGATCACTCCACTGTGCTTCAGCCTGGGTGACAGAGTAAGACCTTGTCTCAAAAAAATAAGAAAAGAATATTAAAAAAAAAAAATTGGCTGGGCACAGTGGCTCATTCCTGTAATTCCAGCACTTTGGGAGGCCGAGGCAGGCAAATCACTGGAGGCCAGGAATTCAAGACCAGCCTGGCCAACATAGCGAAACCCCGCCTCTACTAACAATACCAAAAAAAAAAAAATTAGCAGGGCGTGGTGGCACGCACCTGTAGTCCCAGCTACTCCGCAGGCTAAGGCTGGAGAATTGCTTGAACCCGGGAGACAGAGCCTGCGGTGAGCTGTGCATGCCACTGCACTCTAGCCTGGGCAACAGAACGAGAGTCTGTCTCAAAAAAAAAATTTTTTTTTAATTAAAAATCACAATTAGATTCTGTTTTAAACTTGGTGACTGGTTTTTTTTTTCTCCTTTGAAGTTGGTTGGTACATTACAATGTCATTCACTATATAAGGCTATTTATTGATACTTTTAAATTTACTTGTTTGATATGTTAAGAATTGCTTGTGAAGATAAGAAACAAACCACTGTGTTTACATAGGGGATTAATTTCCCAGTGGACATTGCTTGTGACCCATGTGCTATATTGAAGTGGTCACAATAGTTTTGTAATAGTGGATAATGTTTTTTAAATGTTGTTACGTGGCAAATCCTATTCACAAGTTCAAAAACATAGTTTAGCGCATTGTACCCTCGCACCACCACCTACTCCTGCAGTTTTTTTTTCAACTGGCTCATGTAGGAGTACTGGACCCAGAGGGCAGGACCCAACAGATTCCACTGTGACTCCAGATGAGCAGAAGCTTTTAAAATGCAGTTTGGGTATGTTTGTGAAAATATCACATTGCTATGTTGAAATACATACCTATTTGGTAATAGTCGCAACCTTTCACCGTTTTTAGTTTGACTTGATAATGACTGAATCTATTCAGGGCATGCTTCAAAATTGCATTAACTGCTGTATACAAAATGAAAATTGAAAACATATTACTTTAGAAATAATACTATTAGTAATGTGTTAGGTTTTGTTACAAATTTAACTGTGTCCATAAAAAACACATTTTTAAAAATTATTATTTGAACTAAAGCATATTTTGCTTTCTCTCTTATCTAATATTCACCTTATTTACTTCTGAAACACCAAACTTAAATGTTATATGGTTTGGTAATACTATAAAGTAGTAATAATATAATAAAGAAAAGACAGTAATAGAAAATAGGGAGACAGCATAACTTAATAAAGTCAATAAGTTATAATATATAATACATTAGAAATAAAATGTATTGCATATGAAAATAACTTTTAATTCATGCAAGTAGATCTGCAAATCTTGATGGCAGTATCCAAATGCAGTATCAACAATGTGACTATATTGACAGTAGGAGCTTAAATACCTTGAATGTCTTAAAGTACTTAAAATAACTAAAAAGGCAGTCTCATTTGAAATCAAGGCAGAGGCGTCATTCAAGCAATTTACTCAGTAGTTCTAAAAGCAAAGAACTGCTGATATTACAGTAGCCTTATCACCATGAATCACGTTTCACTTTGAATGTTCAAATAATCAAATTTTAGCTGAAATAAAGGTTCATTTATAGAGCTGAAATCAATACTCACAGTTCAGGTTCGCCTGAAGTAAAAGTAGCTGAACCCTAAGCTTCCCTAGACACTGAGACTCGTCTTGGTTGTGTCAGCTGGGCTCTTCCATCCGGTCGTGGTGCAATTGGTTGGGGTTCTCTTCTTTTTTATGTTCACATGTGGTGGCAGGGTTTTTTTTTTCCCCTTCTTTTTTTTGTTTCTTTTTTCATTATGACAACTCTCAGATTCCTTTTGAAAATATTAAAAAGCCCTGCCACCATGGAACAACTTTAAGCTCAAGCAACACTGAACTTTAGGAAATTATTTATATCTTTTTTATAAATACCTTCCAACTTGATAACTGTGGAAAGTTTCCCTCCCCCACCCAAAATTTAAAAGCTTTATAAATTCTAAGCAGAAATATGTATTTTCTATTTTTTGTAAGAAATGATACATAATATGCTATATGGACTTTCAAAGCACAAGCACTGAATTTCTATTTCTTTTTGGATTTGTTTTAGAAATTAAGTTATTCAGATAAAGTGGCATTCCTTTATTGAATTATAATAACATTAGTGATGAATTATTTTACTCTTTTTTAAGTTTTACTTCATTTGTACATTATTTTAGCATATTTCCATGTATTCCTTTAAGACCTTTGCTAAAACAGTCTTGTGTTATTAGGACTAGATGAGATTTCTAATGGTGGTCTCCCCTTTTTATCACTATGATAAACTCTCCAAGCAAATTAAAACATCACCTGTATTTTAAGCAAAATAATGATGGGATTCTGCAGTTTTGGTTTTGATGCTAGTCCAAAATTTAACCACTATCTGTCCATCTATGTAACTGCTGGCCGTGCAGTTTAGTGTTATTTCCCTTTTTTTGTTGCCATTTGAAATGAAGAAGAGTTAGTTTTCATTCTCCCCATAAGTGTTGTCCTGCGGCTTTGTTTACACTAAATATTTGACTCATTGGGCTGTATCTAACATTCTAATTATTTCTGGGTACACTCTTCTGAACATTATATTCTCCAGAGCTTTTTGTTTGTTGTAAATATGATATATGGGACAGGATATTTTTAAATTGCTAGAATAAAAATGTTTTGTAGCTCTTACTTCCCCTCAGAACCTCTGAGAAGGAAGGTGGTTACTGTATTGGTCTGGCAGGATTTTCTTTTATTGTGGTACAATATGTAACATTAGATTTACCATCTTAACCTTTTTTTTTTTTTGAGATGGAGTTTCGCTCTTGTCGCCCAGGCTGGAGTACAGTGGCACGATCTCAGCTCACTGCAACCTCTGCCTCCTAGGTTCCAGCTATTCTTCTGCCTCAGCCTCCTGAGTAGCTGGGATTACAGACATGCACCACCATCCCTGGCTAATTTTTGTATTTTTAATAGAGTCGGGGTTTTGCCATGTTGGTCAGGCTAGTCTCGAACTCCTGACCTCAAATGATCCACCCACATCAGCCTCCCAAAGTGCTGTGATTACAGGCATGAGCCATCGTGCCCAGCCCCATCTTAACCATTTTTAAGTGTACAATTCAATAGTGTTAAGTATATTCACATTGTTGTGCAACAGTTTCTAGAAGTTTTTCGTCTTGCACAACTAAAACCCTTTGCCACTAAACTATTTCTCTCCTCTTCCACTGCCCTTACAATCATGATTTGTGTTTCATTGATTTTGACTATTTTGGATACTTCATATGAGTGGAATCACACAGTATTTGTCCTTTTGTGACAGGTTTATTTCACTTAGTGTCATATCCTCGAGGTTCATCTGTGTTGCAGCATGTTACAGGATTTCCTTCTTTTATCAAACTGCATTATATTCCACTGTATATGCACCACATTTTCCTTATGCATTCATCTGTTGATGGAGTTTTTGGTTGCTTCCACCTCTTGACTAATGTGAATAATGCTGCAGTGAGCATGAGTATGCATATATCTCTTCAAGATCCTATCAGGAATTTTTTAATGACTAAATAGGCATTTACCTATGTGCATTCTATTTCATATAATCTAGTATGAATATATTTTTTTCTATATTATTTTCCTACACCTAAGCCAACCCTTTTCAAAATACTAATTGTTTTAATCTTCAGTTTCCTCATATTGTGACCACATTTTCTCCTCAATGTGAGTCAACACAGCTACTACCAGATTTGAGTATAATCTTTTTCTAGCTATTTCTTTATATATGCTTTTTCCTGTTCATTCTGGATTTTCTGGTTTGTCTCTGTGTTCTTAGCTCATTTTCGATATGTCCTTTTCCCTTCACACTTCCTCTTTCTCGTGTTGAGATTGTAAGGTATTTATTTATATAAAGATAGAAGTAGAAAAGAATAAATGTATACGCTTGTTTGGTGCCATCTATTACTGATATCACCGTTCTCTTTAAATCCCAACCCCGGTTAAATTCAGCTCACCACCTACTCCAGGCCTGAACCTTGCCATCTAAAATGAAGACTGCTGGATACAAACATTCAATGATGCTGATTGGTCTCGCTTCAAATTCATGACTACAAACCTCAAGTGGGCCCCTGGGCTGCCAACAATCCTGGTATATTTCCTTAGTCCAGTGGTTCTCAAAACAGGTCCCAAACGAGTTGCATCAACATCACTCAGAAGCTTGTTAGAAATGTATGTTCTTAGCTGGGCATGGTGGCGCACGCCTGTAGTTCCAGCTATTTGGGAGGCTGAGATGGGAGGAGTACTTGAGCCTAAGAGTTTGAGTCTAGCCTGGGCAACATAGCAAAACCTTGTCCCTAAAAAAAAAAAAAGAAAAGAAAAAAAAAAAAGGCTGAGTGTAGTGGCTCATGCCTATAATCCCAGCACTTTGGGAGGCCAAGGTGGGCAGATCACCTCAGGTCAGGAGTTCAAGACCAGCCTGACCAACATGGTGCAACCCCGTCTCTACTAAAAATACAAAAATTAGCCGGGTGTGGCGGCACGCGCCTGTAATCCCAGTTACTCAGGAGGCTGAGGCAGGAGAATCGCTTGAACCTGGGAGGCAGAAGTTGCAGTGAGCTGAGATCGCACCGTTGCACTCCAGCCTGGGTGACAGATCGAGACTCCATCTCAAAAAAAAAAAAAGAAAAAAATGCATATTCCTGACCTCATCCCAGACCTGTGAGCCAGAAATTCTGGGGATGGGGCTCAGCAACCTGTGTGATTCTGATGCTAAGGTTTGAGGACCACTGTTTAATCAGTTCATTCTCCTATTCCTTGAAAATACTTTTTCACACCTGTACTCTTCTCAGACTGCCAGGAACCCCCCTCCTTCCTCACTCCCACCTGGTGACCGCTTTTTATTTCACCAAGAAAATAGAAGCACTCGGAAGAGAACTTTATTGTCTTCCAGTGTCCACCTCTGCTAGTATATACAAATGTCTCTCTTTAAGAAACAAAAGCCGGGCACAGTGTTTCATGCTTGTAATCCCAGCACTTTGGCCAGCTGAGGTGGGCAGATCCCTTGAGCTCAGGAGTTCGAGACTAGCCTGGGCAACATGGCGAAACCCTATCTTTACAAAAAACCACAAAAATTAGCCGGGTGTGGTGGCACGTACCTGTAGTCCCAGCTACTCAGGAGGCTGAGGCAAGAGGTTGGCTTAAGCCCCAGGAGTTGGAGGCTGCAGTGAGCCATGATCGTGCCACTGCACTCCAGCCTGGGCGACATAGTGAGACCCTGTCTCAAAATAAATAAAATTAAAAATTTAAAAACCTCCACAAAAAAGCTCTAGGTACTGCAATGGAATTACCTATAGAATATATTGTTATGTGGAAATTTTGAATATTTGTGCGTATTTTCTTATTTTTAAAAAATTGAAGGATAAACTGAAAACTAATAAAAATAGTTACCAGTGGTGAAGAAAAGATTGGGAGTGGGGGAAGAGTGCAAAAGCTAGACCTCTCTGAATAGTATGTTTTACAGTTTGTACTTTAGAACGTATGTACATGTTTTATATAATTAAAACACCAAATTAAGGCAAAATCTAATGAAAACAAAAGAACTTTGCTCTATTGCAAAGTGAAAGCATAACCACAAGGAGTTATTTTTAGTAACTTTAAAATAGTTACTATTTTTAGTAACTTTAAAATAGGGTAGGGGTTTTTGTTTTGTTTTTACATAATTTTAGACTTACAGAAAAGTTATGAGAACAAATATGAGGATTCTAGATACCTTTTACTCAGATTCTCTATGTTAACATTTTTTTTTCATTTGTTTAATCCTTCTCAATCTCTCACTCTTATCCATTTACATATTTCCTAAAAATAAGGAATTCTTTTACATAGCTGCAGTACAGTTAACAAAATTAGATAATTTATGTTGACCTAATATCATTATGTATTCTACAGACCTTGTTTCAATTTCATCAGTTGTCCTAGTAATATCCTTTCTAACAAATAAAAACAAACTGGGCACAGTGGCTCACACCTGTAATCCCAGCACTTTCGGAGGATGAGGCGGGCAGATCACTTGAGGCCAGGAGTTCGAGACCAGCCTGGTCAACATGCCAAAACACTGTCTCTACCAAAAATGCAAAAAAAATTAGTCCGGCATGGTGGCGCACTCCTGTAACCCCAGCTACTTGGGAGGCTGAGGCACGAGAATCGCTTGAACTCAGGAGGTGGAGGTTGCAGTGAGCAGAGATCATGCCACTGCACTCCAGCCTGGGTGACAGAGTGAGACCCTGTCTCAAAAATATATATATATTAAAAACAAGATCTATCTTTTCAGTCTCCTTTAATCACTTTAACCTGGAACTGTATTTGAAGAATATAGGCCAGTTACTTTCTAGAATGTCCCTCTTTGGGTTTGCCCAGTGTTCCTTCATGATTAGATCTGGTTATGTACTTTGGCAGGAATACCACAGCAGTGTTGCCAAGTTCTCAATGCATCATATCAGGAAGCACATGCTATCAATCAGTCCCATTAGAAGTAGTGTTAACTTTGCTAGTTTCTGCTGGGTTTCTCCCCTGTAAAATTACTAGTTTCCCATTTGTAATTAATAAGTATCCTGTAGGGAGATATTTAGAGATTACATAAATATCTTACCACTCTTCAAACTTTCACCCACAAGTTAGCATCCTTGATGATTCTTACCTGAATCAGTTATGATATTGAAAACTGCCAGATTCCAGCATTTCTTCTACATTTG